AAACCCTAAAACCCTAAACACACTTTAAACGAAAAACCCTAAAACCCTAAACCCTAAACCCCAAAACCCGAAACTCTAAACACTAAACCCTAAGCCCTAAAATCCTAAACCCTAAACCCTAAAATCCTACAGCCCCAAACCCTAAACCCTTACGTCTAGGGTTTAGATTTGGAGCTTCGGGTCTTCGGCTTGGAGCATCCACAAATGACGTAGACACCTACTGCATACCCAGACCCCCGGGAGGATCCAAAAAGTAGATCCCTTAATAATAATGGGAGTTCCTATAAAGAGCTTACATTTAGGGTTTAGGGTTTAGGGTTTAGGGTTTAGGGTTTAGGTAAGTTACTTATAGCACAATTAAGGTACTTATAAGTGTACTTGTTTGAGTCCCATGAACCTCTAAGTACCCAAAGGGCCCTAAGTACCTATAGCTTATATCGTAGAGTGTAGGGTTTCTATACCAGGAATTACGATTATGGTTTGGGCAAGTATCCCCCATATACATAGGTATTTGATTACAGTGAATCCCAGGAAATTATGGGTTTAGGATGAGTAGTGGGATTCCCTATACTTTACCTTAAGGGCATGAGGATACGGATGTTCCAACTTTCTGGCTTCTACCTTAGGACCCTTTGGCTTACAAAACTGCAGTAGAAAGAAGCCGTGAAGAGTTGAATCGTAATACTCCTCAGGCTCTCCTGAGATAACTATTCCATAAACCGAGGCGGAGGGGGTTTGGGTTTAAGGTTTGGGTTTAGGGTTTAGGGTTTAGGGTCCTGAGATAGCTATGAAAGCCCTACTCTTAGTCCTTCAGCGTCATTTCCGAAACCCCTCGCCAGACGTCTAGGAGAATCCAAAGAGCATATTAGATACCTTAGGGGGTTCCTGTAAAGTAATCTTTCGTAGTATAGGGGGCTCTACTTTCTAGATCTTCCCAGGGTCTGGGTATAGTCAAAGCCAATTGAAACAAGCTGGGTGGGGAAATCCCAAAATCAGAGTCCTTACGCAAGGGGTCCTTTATCCTACCTACCTTCATACTACTTTCTGAGGCCTGTGAAAGCCCTTTGATTCAGTATCCTTTGAAGTACCATTGTCGATATCAGCCGCTGAAATCAGGACCTGCTCCGCGTCGCCAAGCAGGCACGCTGCCTCTCGGCTGCATCATCCTGAGCCCAGAGACTCCAAAACCACTTAACTAAGGGGTTTAGGTTTTAGGGGAGACACCCGGAAGGATCTGGAAAGTAGAGCCCTCAAAATTTTAGTTAGGACACTTTTCTACAAAAGGGTACTTTACAGGAACTCACTTAAGGGATCTATGTTTTGGATCCTCCGAGGGGTCTGGGTAAGCGATTGTAGTGGGATCTTCATTATGATTTAAGGCCGTCTATATGGTTCGTCTAGGTCTTCATGCGGCTAACAGAGACTTCATATTGCTCGTACCCTATAGAAGCCTGGGCTAGCTTTTCTACAACATATCCCAAAACCCCATGCTTATTGGCAAGAGCCCTATATGAGGATTGGAATCCGGTTTTATCGGGCCAGCTCAAGGTTAGTGCACCCTTCTTTAAGGGAAATAAGGCTGAGACCCCAGTAAGTTATAGTACCTGTGAGGGGCAAGGGATTATGAATAAGGGGCATACATGTTTTACACTCGCCCGGAGCTCCGGAAGCATTCTCGAAAGTAAAAATCCCCAACTTTGGCCATCACCACGAAAGTCTACCAAAGGGTATGGCGGGGGGATCCCAGACTCGTAAGCCAAGCTAATTTTTCCTTAGGACAGTTTCTCGGGCTTTATGATTCTGCTCATTTTGGAATCTCCACAAAAGACATGTCGGAAGAGAAAAATCTACCCTGATGGGCCTTACACAGATATTATAAAGCCCCTAAACCCCAAACCCTGAACCCTAAAGCTACCCCAAATCATCCTGAACCCTAAACCCGAAACCCTAAAGCCTGAACCCTAAACCCCAATCCTGAACGCTAGACCCTACCCGAACCTCACCCCCTACCCCAGGCGATCACTTCTCTGCCGTGGATCGCTCCAACAACTTCCAATCTTGGTTCTGCCATGAGGCCACGGTTTAGGCTTCCTTCTGCTCCTTCCCAGACCCACGGAAGGATCTAGCATGTGTAGGGGGATTAACCCAGACCTCCGGAAGGATCTAAAAAGTGGATCCCGCAATTTGGGATCCGATACTGCTAAAGGATACTGTATAGGACCCAACTTGAGTGTAGGGGGATTAGGGCTTTCGAATCCTGCCATGAGGCCATCTACCTATTCTAATTATTCTTGCCCCTACATTATGTTGGGGTCGTTTGGAGGTTCTTGGACAAGCCCGAAGCCCTGCAATTTCGAGGGCATCCCCAGGCCAGTTCTTGCTGGCGGGCTGCTTGCGGAAATTGTCGTTCAATACTTTCGAATTGGGGGACTTGGGGCTTAGGGGTTATAGGGGTCTAGGGGTTTAGGGTTTAGGGCTTTAGAGTTAAACCTACGCCCTAAACCTTAAACCGTTTAGGGTTTAGGGCTTATGCAGGAATTGCAGGCCCCAAGACCATCTTGTAGAACCCCGGATAATACCGGATATATTGCTACTTTAATGCAGATGGAGGATCCCTCTGGAATTTCAAGGTACATGGCTTCATCCCTAAACCCTAAAGCCCTAAACCCTTCTAGAATTTAAGTTGCGTTGCTTCATGAAGGGATTTTCGGAGCCTCCCTTTACAGCCATGTTTTTTCGGTTATAAAGTAGGGGTTTGGGGTTTTAGGGTTTATAGAGTTTAGTGCTGGGGTTTTGGGGACCCCTGTGCCTAGACCCTAAAACTCAGCAGGACGACTTCCCCATGAGCTCCACCTACGAGGCGTATTTGAAGCGCAACATCGACATGCTGGCCGAGTACAGGAGTCCTCTTTTTCAGGGGCCCCAAATTCTGAAACCTAGACCCTAAGCCCGACAAGGCATGCACAAATTCAAAACCTAGACCCTAAAACCTAAACCCTAAACCCTAAACCCTAAACCCTAAACCCTACACTGTGAGCCGAGGACAGAGGGTAGGGCTTGGATTTGGGCAAAGAGGTGCGGTGCGGTGTAGGGTCCCCAGACTCCCGGGAGGATCCAGAAAGTAGAGCTCTTAACGGGGTTCCTACAAAGTACCCTGTAGTAGTTAAAGTCTTATTGGCTGTAAACTCAACTNNTCTGAAAGTTTCAACTTTTATTTCCTTGGGTTTTGGGGCCAGTGAGAAGTTAGGGACCCAAAGAAGGGGATCTACCTTTTTAGATGCTTCAACCCTAAACCCCGAAGCCCTAAACCTCGTGAGGTCTGGGTTGAGGGTTTAGCAACCCTCCAACCCTGATCCATAAACCCCTACTTGGAGGTTCATGGGACTTAGTAAGTACAGTCATAAGTATCCTAACTGGGGTCATAAGTACTTACAAGTATAGTTACTTTACTCATAACCCTAGTTACTAGTTGATGGACAAAATTCTGCATGACCCAAATATAGTATAGTACCACAAATCCCATAGTTTTGGTATTTAAGGTCATGCAGGATTTTGTCCATCAGCCGTACGTCCCATGAATCTTTAAGTACCCTAAACCCTAATACTGAAACTTCGAACTAGGGAACTACGCCCGGAACTCCTAAGCCGCAAGTACCCTTCAAAGGAGTTTCATCCAATAAAGCCTCCAAAACCCCAAATCCCTAAAACCCCAAAACCCCAAAGCCCTGAACCCCAAACCCTAAACCCTAAAACCCTAAAACCCTAAAGCCCTAAAACCCTAAACCCTAAAGCCCTAAACCCTAGGGGTCGAGGCAGGTCTGATCCTGTGGTTTAGGATCGGGCCTCCTGAGGTTCAGCCGCAAAGAACGCGCTTAGCAGAGGGGTTTAGGGTTTTGGGGTTTGGGGTTTAGGGTTTAGGGCTTAGAGTTTAGGATTTTGGTTTAGGGTTTAGGGTTTTGGTTTCGGGTTTAAGAATTTAGGATTTTGGTTTAGGGTTTAGGGTTTTGGGTGTTGGTTTAGGGTTTAGGGTTTAGGATTCTGGTTTAGGGTTTAGGTCTTAGGGGTGCAAGGGACCATGCACCCGCAATGTCTATCGACCACACTATGTTGGGGCTGATGAACCGTCCGAGCACGAATCTATCTACCCAGACCCCCGGGAGGATCCAAAAAGTAGATCCCTTAATGCGGCTTCCTATAAAGAGCCTTTAGTAGTATAGGGCCCCAAATTACGGGTTCTACTTTCTAGATCTTCCCGGGGGGGTCTGGGTACATGATATATGAGTATGGCCCGTTGTTAAGTATAAAGCCGACTGACAACTCGAAACCTTAAGCCGAGCAATCAGAAGCATCCCGGCAGTAAGAGTCATAAGAAGATAAGAGTCGCGCCTCCTTAAGCCCAAATCCTAAAGCCATTATTGCACTTGGAGGTTTGGGTTAAGGGGTAAGCCGAATGTAGCTGTGCTCCAAACCCAATTAAATTTATAGCCTAGTTTTCTACACCCCCGGGAGGATCGATGGAATGTAGAGCTCCTAGCTTGACAACTTTATGGGGTATAGAAATATATATATATATATATATATATATATATAAAGTACCCTTTAGTAGTAAATAGGATCCCAGACTCAGGATTTGATGATTTACTTGAATATCCTCTTGAAAGTCTGGGTAGAGCAATGAATGCGCAGGACGCCTGGAATCACGCTTCTAGTCAAGTGGCTTCCGTTGGAGCATCCACAATTTCCCTTGTTTTGAAGTCCTAGGTTGCTTATACCCATACCCAAAAAGGGAGCCCTTTTTCATCCTAGGTTACTGGGCATCCTAGAGCAGGCGTAGTTTTGTATGGGTATCAAGTTTGGGGTGCTGCTTTCAAGATAGCTCAGGAGGTGTAGGGTTTAGGGTTACGTGCAGAAAGCCGATGCCCTGTACCCTAAAACAAACACCCACTCGCCCCCTCAATCGCCCCGCCAGGACTCGTGGCCTAGCTGAATTTGGAGGTCCTGTTCAGGGTTCAGGGCGTTTTAATCTCTAGGGTTTGGCGGGGTTCAGTTTAGGGCTTGGGGGTTTGGGGTTTATGGTGGCCGTGGCCATAGAAGCCCAGTTACCTGTACAGTAGGTCCCAGCTCATTGTTTTTGTGACCTGTATCCCTAGGGATCAAAATAGCACAAAAGCCCTATATAGTATGGTCTTTGGGCCCAAAAGCCTTAGTATATGAGTCCTTAGATCGCTAGGGTATTATACGTAAAATCCTTTTCGAATTGTGTATAGCCGCCCAACATCATGTACGTAACTACTTCCACGGTATTGCGGAAGCCGAGGCCACTCCAACATGCTTCCACTTTGTGACCCTGCCTTCAGGGTCCAAGTATTCAAATACTACGTACCCTAAACTACCAAACCCTCCTTTTTGTTGGCTCTCATTATAAACCATAATCAACTTTGTCGGGGCCCTACAAAAAAGCAGGTTTTGGTAGGTTAATGTAGGGTTGTAGGTACCACAAACCTTTTCGGGGATGCTTTGTGTGAGGGCTTTCAATTGAACCCCAAGCCGTAAATTTCACATCTCGAACCACGGGAACGAGGTCCTGGGTGTCAGAGGTACTGCTTGATATAGGGGCCTAAATAATAACTTATCTATACTAAACTCTTTTCGGGGTTCCTTATTGTACTTAAAGTATAATATACCCAAAACCCTGTTCTAATTCTTAAGGCCCCAACATTAGGTTGTTTAGGGCTTAGGTTGTTTAGGATTTTTTGGTTTGGGCTTCATGGTTTACGGTTTAGTGCCTAGGGTGCTCTAGGCTCGAGGTAGCACATTCTTCAGTTCATCTAAGGTGTAAGTTATAAAACAGGAGTGTTTGTTGCAGGGGGGGGGGGGGCATGTAGTAGATTTATAAAGGGACTATAGGGGGATACTGTTGATGATATAAATCTTGCATTACCTTAAGGACCATAAACTATGGGAATTATGGTCTATTCCTTGCTATGGGTAATGCAGGATTTATACCATCAGCCGTAGCATATACTTCGGTCCTATGGTATTAGTCAGTAGGGTTCTAGTCGGGAGTCTCCCCAGTGGGGTTGTCCTAATCTTACCATCAGCCGTACTATTGCGAAGTTGTTCCTACTCCAAACCCTAAACCCTAAA